ATATATATGTGTGTGTGTGTGTGTGTGTGTGTGTGTGTGTGTGTGTGTATGTATGTATGTATGTATGTAATGAAATGGAATAAGCCCGACAATTATTTGAAGATATTTTATTGCTATACTTCATTTATATAGACAGAGGTATTTAAGTAAATGCTTTGTTTATAATGAACAGTATTAACAACATTTATTGGCCGGAACCTCCTAGAAATATTCATAGAAAATAAGTGTCTTCCGATAGGAATCGACCTTGCTAACCAGAAACAGATAGATAGATAGATAGATAGAGAGAGAGAGAGAGAGAGAGAGAGAGAGAGATGTATACTCAAATAGATAGATAGATAGATATTTTGTTTGACGTGTAATACGGAGTTAGATATATTTGCACTGACATAGATAGAGATTTAGATGTGATTACCCTAGATAGATAGATAGATGTATGAAAACAGACAGAGTAATAGATGCGTATAAGCTGAGTGATAGATAGATAGAGAGATGTGAGTATACTCAAATATATATATATATATATTTGAATATACTAGATAGATAGATAGATTGATAGATAGATAGATATTTTGATTGATGTGTAAAACGGATATATTTGCACTGATCTAGATAGAGATTTACATGTGATTACCCTTAGAGATAGATAGATAGATAGATAGATAGATAGATAGATAGATACGGATAATCTAAAAGTGACAGATAGATAGATAGATAGATAGATAGAGAGAGAGAGAGAGAGAGAGAGATGTGTAAAAATAAGATAAAGAGACAGATGCGAATAGGCTGAAATATATATATATATATATATATATATATATATATATATATATATATAGGTAGATAGAGTGATGAGCAAAACTGAGTTAGATATATTTTTTACTGATATATATATATATATATATATATATATATATATATATATATATATATATATATAGAGAGAGAGAGAGAGAGAGATGTGAGTATGCCGAAAGTGATAGCTAGAAAAAAGAAAGAAAGAATTTTTCCTCCTTCGTTCTTTTCCTGCTAAAAACTCTAATGAAATTATCTTGTACATATTTCCAGCTTCCGAAGAGAAAATCCTTCTCATTCGTCGATTTATGAATATCTTTTCAAAATTTACATAAATTTTCTCGTTAATTTGTCGGAGGAAATTTTGTTACGTGAGAATCAAACAATCACGAATCGATCACAAACCAAACAAGGCCGGAAATGAATAAAACATGGCCGCTCAAACGAACGGCAAAGATAATTTTTCGACGAATCAACCACAGATTTATCGGACGGCTTCGATGCTTCCCTGGTGTTTTTAACTTTTCAAATTATTTATTTCTTTGCTTCTTTGAGCAAGACGGTGAGGAGGTCTAAAGGTCGAATCGATTTAGTCTTGACGTTTCCCATGGTTATTCAGTGAAATTCGATACGATACAGTTTACGTCGAACCACAAAATCATCACTGCTATAATTCAATACTAATAAAATGTTCCCACTACCATCACGGTTACTTTGCAGTTATTGTAATTTCTTGGCTTTATTTAACTAAAAACGACAATAACTTCATTAACAAATCAACAGTAACACTAAAATTAATGACAATAAATCAACAATCATAGGCACAATGAAAATAGCAATAGTATTAAAAGCAATCAAGACGAGGAGAAGGGGGGGGAACCATAATCATATTAAAAGCGATAATAATAATAATAATAATAATAATAATAATAATAATACGGTTAAATAATAATAAAAGCAATAAAATATTAAATAAAAATAATCACAATAAATAAAAATATTAAATAATAATCATAAAAACAAAACAATATTATAAAGGCGACGATAAGGTAAAAATAATAATTATAATAAAGGTCATAATAATAATAATAATAATAATAATAATAATAATCTTTGAAGATCTTCAAAAAGCTGTCAAAATACAAGGACATTGAAATAGAAATCTCGAAAATGTGGCATATGGGAACATCAACAATCCCTGTTGTTGTAGTTGGCGCCCTAGGATTGGTTGGAAAAGATTGCAGTAGACTAATTGAAGGGATTCCTGGAAGTCCATGCCTCAAGGACATACAAAAAATTGTTCTGACAAGTACAGCCCACACTTTACGAAGGGCTTTATCTATGTAATTTTTTTTTTTCTTTTTTTTGGTCAGTGGAAAGTGTCATGATGTCATTTAACCTTAGGTCCTAAGCGGGACCCGGAAAGAAATGTAAACGCCAGAAATCAAAGATAATAATAATAATAATAATAATAATAATAATAATAATGAGGGCACGGTAAAAGAAAAATGTAGAATTAATACAATATAAGAAGAAGAAGAAGAAGAAGAAGAAGAAGAAGAAGAAGAAGAAGAACAAGAAGAAGAAAGAGAAGGAGGAAAAGGGGGAGTAGGAAAAGGGAGAGAAGGAGGACGACGACAATGACGACGGTGGGGAGATGAGCGAGAGGGTATAATAATTTAAAATAATAATAATAATAATAATAATAATAATGCAAAAGTAATAATAATAAAAGGCAGTAAATAATAAATAATAATAATATCTAATAAAAATATTAAATAATATTAATAGTAAAAGAATTAAATGATATTAAAAAAAAAAAACAATATTAAAAAGGCGACAATAAGGAGGAAACGATAATAATAATAATCATAATAATAATATAACAGTAATAATAATAAAATAATAAAATAACAATAATAAAAACAATATATTAAAATGACGACAATAATGGGAAAACAACAACAACAATAATAATAATAATAATAATAAAGCAACAGTAATAGTAACATAATAACAATAATCGCGACAGTAAATCTGATCAGATCGATAAATTCAAATTGGTGGCTGATCTCAAAAATGGCCTACACACTGTTGTTAAATGGGGCAAATAAAGGCTTGTCAATTTTCACACCTCCAAAGCAAGACTTATCTCCATTAATCATCTGGGAGATCTCTTTCTGCCTTCCATCAATACGGTTGATGCTAACCTCCAGTAGTTTGACTCTTTGTGCCTTCTCAGGTTTACATTCTCGGTTGACATGAAGTGCAAAAACTATATTGAATCTATTGATAGTTCAGCTGCTGAAAAAATAGGTTCACTGTGTGGTACTAGACAATTTTTACCTCCCGAATCAATCTTACATATTTATAAGTCTACCCTTCTTCCATCCTTCGAATATTGTTACCACATATGGTCAATGCTCCTACTAAATATTTAGAGATTCTTTATAAAATCCAAAGAAGAATCAGCAATATTATTACTCTTGATCTGACATCTCGGCTCCAGTCACTTTCCCACTGCCATAAAGTTGATTCCCTGTGCCTTTTCTATAAATATTTTCATGGGCTTTTTTTTTTTTTTGGCTGAGCTCTTTGCTATGGTATCTCCACTTAATAAATTTAAGGGCAGTACCAGATTGGGAAAAAAAAGTTTCACCAATTTACAGTTGAATTGCCTAGATGTAAACATAAATTCTATGCTGACAGTTTCATCTCTCGCACTTCTCGCTTGTGGAACTTCCTTCCAGCTTGTTGCTTTCCAGCCAACTTTCATCTTCAAACCTTGAAATGCAATGTCAATCGATATCTAGTGTCCCCCCCCAGCTCGCTCTTCTATTGTTCTTGCTCCTTATTAATGTTTCAGTTTTCTATTTTTTTCACAGCCAGTGACTTCTTGTGTCTTAGTTGCTTTATTGCCGTTATTGGATTAAATTCTGTGTTAAAAAAAAATAGCAGCAAGAATAATAAAACTATAAAAACAACAAGAAGAATAATAGAACACTAATTCGAAAATAATAGTCATATAGAAATACAAAAGGCAATTATCTCCCCTTGGTGGAGATCAAATCACGTGGTTCAATGGTTAGTCAGCTTCCAGGAGTATTAACAACATTTACTGGCCTAAACGTCCTCCGACAGGAATTGAACCTGCATCCTAAACAGAACCGTCATATAGGATACAGGTTCTATGGAATTTCTCGGATATTCCGGCCGGTAAATGTTAATATTCCTGGAAGCTGGTTAAGCATTGAGCCACGTGATTTGATCCCCAACAAAGGGAGATAATTGTCTTTTGTATCTCCATATGACTATTATTTTCGAATTAGTGTTCGTCTGTTCTTATTGTTGTTAGTATATATATATATATATATATATTATTACTACTCCTATATTATAAACAGAGCATTTACTTAAATAGTTGTGTCTATATAAATAATGTATAACAATAAGATATATTAAAATAATTGTTGGACTTTGTCCATTTCGTAGTGTGTTTACGTTGAGATACGCTTCGAGCAGATATGAACGTTCCAGAGAAATCATGGGAAGATTGTAGTTTAAAAGCAGTAAACTCGACCTTGCTAACCAGACGTTCCTCTGTAGCTAAACTGGTATAGCACGTCTGGATATATAACGGCTCCGTGTAGGGTACAGGTTCGATTCTTATCGGAGAACGCATATTTTCTATGAATTTTTCTCGGAGGTTCAGGCCGGTAAATGTTGTTAATACTGTTTATTATAAACAGAGCTTATACTTAAATATTTGTGTCTATATAAATAACCTATAGCAATGCAATATATTCAAATAACTGTCGGACTTTGACCATTTAATAGTATATGTCAGTACGTAATTGTGTTAGAAATAGGGTTTATTTTCTATACTAACAATATTACTAATAACTGTTTTAGTCAGTTTTTTAAAACAGTTTTCCTGACCTTGGGATTTTTTTTTATTTTAAATCTTTTATCAATTTTCTTCTTTTGTTTTCCGTATTTTGTATCCTTACTTCATTTTTTCTAAAAAAAATATTTTCTTTCTTGATTTTCAGTTAGTGTTTTCTCTTCAAACCCTTTTTTACTCAGTTGAGATACTGATTCCTGTACGTCCTGCGAATTTAAGCAACGTCGAGCTTGGTCAGTACCAAGATGAGTAACCGCTTGGGAATACCAGATATTGTAAGTTTGGAGGTTTGGATGGTCTAATGGATAATGACTTGGAATTTTTATTTATTTATTTATTTATCTATCTATCTATCTATCTATCTATCTATCTATCTATCTATCCTCGGTCTGTTCATATCCATCTTAGTCTATTTATATCTATCTATCTATCTTATCTATCTATCTATATCTCGATATATATATATATATATATATATATATATATATATATATATATATATATATCAGTATGTTCATATCTATCTATCTATCTATCTATCTATCTCATTCAGCTTATTCGCATCTATCACTATCTGTTTTACATATTTATCTATCTGTCTCTTTCAGCTTATTCGTATCTATCTTTCTATCTCAGTCTTACACGTCACTCTCTCTCTCCCTCTCTCTCTATCTATCTCTTTCCGCTTATTCGCATCTCTCTATCTGTTTTACACATCTATCTATCTATCTATCTATCTATCTATCTATATATATATATATATATATATATATATATATATTTCATAGAACATGTATCACCAACTGAGTCAAATTCTCCGAAATATTATCACTGCCGAAAAAGTGTACTTTCAGAAAGCCATATTTTGAATTCAGACCTTCTTGTCTCTTTGAGTTCAATATATTTACTTACGCGCCTGCCTACTGCGGGAAGATATAAATCCCTCTTTTCACTCCATATATGGTTGAATTAGTAAGCTTTGTATCACTAATAAAATGATCATCTCAAAATAAAAATCTTACACTCTAAAAATATTTTCTGGCTTTAGTTAACCTGCAAAAGGTTGATAACAAGTAAAAAAAATGAATTATTGAATCAGTCAGTTTTAATTTCGTTTTCCTACAACGATTAACCGATTGGCCATTTTTCCTTCAAATTTATTTTCCTTATTTTCTCATTTCTCTTTCACCTCGTTCATGTAATACAGTTTTTCTCTCTTTTCGTTGCTCTCTTATCATTTGATCTCTTCTTCTATTGCCTCTTCCCTGACTTTCCCTTCATTCATTTAACAACCTCTTTTTCTCTCCTTAATTTCTATTTCCTTCAGTTTCCTTCTTTCTCGTTTTCTTTATTCTTCCTTTCGTTTCGAACCATTCTCTCTTTTCGTTCTCTTCTTTTATTCTACTTTTCCTTCTCGCCTCTTCTTTTCCCCCTTCTCCTCTCAATTTTCCGCCATTCATTTAACAACCTCTTTCTCGTTTTCTTTATTCTTCCTTTCCTTTCGACCTATTCTCTCTTTTCCTCCTTTTCTTTTATTCTACTTTTCCTTCTCGCCTCTTCTTTTCCCCCTTCTCCTCTCAATTTTCCGCCATTCATTTAACAACCTCTTTCTCGTTTTCTTTATTCTTCCTTTCCTTTCGACCTATTCTCTTTCCTCCTTTTTCTTTTATTCTACTTTTCCTTCTCGCCTCTTCTTTTCCCCCTTCTCCTCTCAATTTTCCGCCATTCATTTAACAACCTCTTTCTCGTTTTCTTTATTTTTCCTTTCCTTTCGACCTATTCTCTCTTTTCTTCCTTTTTTTATTCTTCCTTTCTTTTTCGCTTCTTCTTTCTTTTCTTCTCTCACTCCTTTATTTCCTCCTTTACATTTATTTCTCCTCCTTTACTTTTCCTTTATTTCGCCTTTTCTTTTCCTCTTTTTTTTTCTCTCTTCAGTCTCCTCCCCGCATTCATTTAACAACTTCTTTCTCTCTTTAATTTCAATCTCCTTCATTTTCCCTCTTTCTCGTTTCTTTTCTTTTTTCCTTTCCTTTCGACCTATTCTCTCTCTTCTTCCTTTTCTCTTATTCTTCTTTTCGTTTACATCTCTATATTTTCACTCTCTCCTCATCGTCGCGTTATTTACTCCGGCCGCCATCTTTCTCACTGACAACCTACAATGCTTTGACTCCAACCTCACTCTCTTCCGACACTTCACCTCCAAACCTTGCATCGAACCAGGATCAATTACATAAAAGAACTGACAACGGACCACCGTAATCCATTACATTAAGGGATTACCGCGAACGACAAATTCCACCTCACCCCACCACCTTTGGTGACCCAACACCACTAAAACACTCTCCCTGGATACACCGGCGCTTATGGAAGTCTATTGATATTCGATTAGCAGGGTCTTCTTTTAAAGAGAAATCGATTCTAATGGGAGGAAACTGATTGGCCGATTTTGATGTATTTCTGTGGGAAAATCGATCGAAATACTTTTAAACGAAGTTGCTTTTACAAAAGTTAATCCAACGATTAAATCCAAGACGATTTTCTTGTTGTAAGAAGAAATTGCTATCATTTGTTTGTTGCTCTTGCCAGTTAAGCAATAACATGGTAGGCACGTTTTCTGTGACGCGCCTTTCTCAGACAAGCGCTGATGTTAATGGTGCGTCGATTCAAGATTCATTGATCGAACTGTTAGTGTTACTGACGGTTGAAAGTTATAAAAGCTTTCTTTTAAAACATTTTTTCTTTGTTTTCAGGAAAATAGACCTCTTAGGCCCAATAACTGTTATAGCTCTTTCTATTTCGATGGGGTTTCCTTTCTGTTATAACCTAGGGAGTGGTTACTGAATAGAATAATTAAACGAAGGTTGGTAATGAATGATAGTACATAGGACAAGAGCAAGACAATGAATCAACAATTAATGGACATTAATTAAGGACAGTGAAATCTGAAAGACAAATTCAGGGAAAAGATGGCGAAAGAAAGAAAGAACAACATTAATGGAGAATGAGGAAAGGAAAGAAAGAAGGAAAGAATAATGAAATATAATAAAAAAAATACCTGTAGACCCAGTATAAAAAGGGGGTAGGGTAGCTGTTTCCTGAGACGAGACTCTGCTTTTCGACATAGCCTCGTCTGGGGACCCTCTCTGCCCGGAAGCAAAGAGTTTGACCAGCACTGCTGGAGACGAATCTCCAACTTCATGATATCTACCAACCGCCCTACGAGGTCAGATGTGGCCGAATTTAATGTGGGTTATCCGAGTCCGTAGGCTCGGACAAAATTTCCCCGCAGACCCCGTATAAAACGGGGTAGGGTCGCAGTTTCCCCGAGACGAGACTCTGCCCTTCGACATAGCCTCGTCTGGGGATCCTCTCTGCCCGGAGGCAGAGAGTTTGACCAGCACAGCTGAAGACGAATCTCCAACTGCAGGCTATCTACCAACCGCCCCACGCGCTCCGATGTGGCACAAGGCCGAATTTAATGTGGAGTATCCGAGCCCGTAGGCTCGTCAAAAAATTCCCCGTAGGCTCCGTATAAAGTGGGGGTCGGTTTGGTGTTTCCTGAAACGAGTCTCGGCTATTCAACATAGCCTCGTCTGGGGATCCCCTCTGCCCGAAGAGCAGAGAGTTTGACCAGCACTGCTGGAGACGAATTTCTGACTGCAGACCAACATATAGTATTTACTACTCTATTTATGTTAATGGGGACATATCCATTATCGTCTGTATGTATGCTGCAACACTTTCTTACTTTTTGTTTAATATAGTGTAGAAAGTCTGATGATATCAATATTAATCCCCATTGGTTACAAGTATTATCCTTTTTTATTTCATTCTCTTTTTGAATGTCTTCATGATATGAGTTTCTTTATTGAGTAAAGTACTTTGTTCGTGATTCTGAAAACCCAGATTTGATGATTTGAAACATTTCAAAACCTAAGCAAGGGTCTCACAAACGCAAATCGCGACCTTCGGGGAACAACATCTCTTACCTGGATTTTTCTCAAATTTAAATTTGTAACTCGAGCCTTCCATAATTTTAATTAGCGCTTTAAAACGAACATTTCAACACTATATACCGAGCATAACCGCACACTTGTCCATAACGTGTAACAGCTTTATTGTGCAATTTTTAGATTAAGATTTGAATCGTTGTATCTTAGGAATGGTTAATATCTTACTGGGATTCTGCGGGGTTTTTACAACAATATTAGACTCTTCTTTGAGCAATAAGAATGTATAATTAATCTCCTAGCTTAACAGAAGAATTCGCTCAATCCTCGGCCACGATGACTTGTGACTTCGTGCTAGCACAATCATAGACGAAGGATTCTGTCTATCCACTTTCACTGATAAGGCGTTGTATGGATTTCAGGAACTATACAACGCGTCTCCTGTCATGAAATCACCTACGGGAAAAATCGAGGTCAGATTCGAACCCGGCTTTTAGGACTGGAAAGCGAAATTCTAACTACTCAGATATATATATATATATATATATATATATATATATATATATATAACAGTTGTTAGATTTTTGTTTGAAGTTTAACAGAAGAACCGTGCTCTGAATTCTATTATAAACCGAAATGACATATTCATCATTAATTAATCCTAGCTAAAGATCGGAAACTCATAAGGTATTGAAATGAAGTTCATATATATATATATATATATATATATATATATATATATATATATATATATGCAAGTTTCATTAAAAATGACAGACAAGGTGCTACGGTTAAGCTTTTTATTTAATTGTTCTTGTATTCGAAGAGCTTTCTTTTCTAGACAAAGAGTGTGTAAAAAACTGTCCAAATGTTTTATAGTTCCGAGCGCTTTCGGCTATACCTTTAGACATTATTAAGGATGATTCGATTTTTCAGCTTAATTGAGTTTGTGCATTATGTGTATGTTTAATGTGTTGTAGAGATGTTTTTAATTTTCGAATACGGTTAGCACATTGTGGCCTTGTTCGTAGTTAATATTGTTAAGAGTTGGCTTTTTCTTTTTTATTATTAAAGCTTCCATTATTGTTAATCTTTTTTTTTTTACAAGTGGATGAAGTTATTATACTTGTGTTTTCTACTAGTATGTTTCTAATTGAGTTTGGTAAGTTTGTGTGTGTGTTTAAATGGGTTCTTATGGAGCTATGATCAGTGTAACGTAAGTCGTCTGGAGAAGCATGTAGTTGTGCAACCGATGTAATTATTTATGAGTCCGGTTTGATCAGGAACACCGTTCCTTAAGGGACATTTGAACTCATAGATAATGTTCGTTCTTTGTAATTTTGACTTAGCTGGTGTGTTGTTATTTTTGAGGATAAGGTTAGCTGTCTTAAATTTTTTATAATAGATAATTAATTTGATTTTTTTTATTCGGGTCAATTGGGGTAGTGTTTTCTTTATAAAATGTCCTATTGAGGATTCGTCTTGTTTGTAGTTAATGTGCATTTGGTTTTTGTAATAAATGTTTATGTAATGTTTGACTGTTCACTATCGTTATTACTTACTTTGGGGAGAAATAGCCTAATTTGGTGGTCTATGAGGTGGTTAGGAATGCCGTTGTTGATTAGTGTTTGTTTTAAATTATTACGTTCTTTGTAGAGGAGTAGTCGAGAGGAAGAATTCTGGTGTGCTCTTTTTAGGAAGTTTTTTATTACGGTTATTTTGTGCCTGGGTGGGCACTCGCTTTTAAAGTTACGTTACACCAATCCGATCACAGCTCCATTAGAACCCATTTAAACACACATAAACTTAACAGACTCCATTACAAACATACTAGTAGAAAACACAAGTATAAAAACTTCATCCACTTGTAAAAAAGATTTAAAATAATGGAAGCTTTTTATAAAAAAAAAACAAAAAGGAAACTCTTAACAATATTAACTACGAACAAAGCCACAATGTGCTAAACGTATTCGATTATATATATATATATATATATATATATATATATATATATATATATATATATATTTACCATTATGGGCCAGGTAATTTGGGAAGTATAAGTGATAAGTGAGATGTATTTCTATCGCTCCTATATATATATATATATATATATATATATATATATATATATATATATTTAATGAAAAACAGACCAAAACAATAATTTATTTCACCAAAATCCTTTTAAAGATTTTGGTGAAATAAATTATTAATGGTACCTTTTTTAAAGTGGACTGTTTTTCATTAAATATTATTTCTGTTCTTCAGATTGAGCTCTCAGGATTTCGTCCTCCTTGGATTTACCAATTCTGTTTACCAAGTTCTTTATAACTTATATATATATATATATATATATATATATATATATATATATATATATATATATATATATATATGTATGTATATGTATGCGTGTGTATGTACGCGTATGTGTGTGTGTTCTGTTGTCCCTTGTTATTTTACAATCTTAACCCAAAGAAACTTAACTGAAATTCAAATCTGAATACTTCGTCCCGTTTAAAAGTGTGATCATCAAACTCTGTATTAAAAATCAAGTCTTAGAATTATCGCCTGACGTGAAATCATAAAAAAGCAAATTTTGATTTTGCAATGCTTAAATGCCAAAATGGATAAATAAAAATGGTAAACACATTAGTAAATGCAGTATTCAAAACCTTGTCTTATACTTGTGTCAAGTAATGGCTCATGTTACCATAACAACATCGGTTAAGAAAAGATCATAGTCATATTGTACTATTTCAGTTACTAGAAAAGTTAGTATAATAATTCTTTTACTAAGACTATATTATTATACGAATTGTTTGTTCGTGTAAATATCGTTTATCGTGAAATTTTGGCTTTATTCTTGAGAGACTTGAGTACAAAGAGACAAGCGAAAAGGTTGAGATGACGATTTCGGAGAAGACAATTGCTGATCAATTTTGACGTCTACAGAAACATTGTATTACATCAGGATCATGGGATTTGAGGATTTTGAGAAGAAAGAAAGAAAGAAAGAAAGAAAGAAAGAAAGAAAGAAAGAAAGAAAGAAAGAAAATCTAATGAGGGAGAGGAGGGAGAAAGAAAGATTAATGAACAATAATTACGGAGAGTGAAAAAAGATTGACAAATAAAGGTAAAGAAAGAAAGAAAGAAAGAAAGAAAGAAAGAAAGAAAGAAAGAAAGAAAGAATGACATTAATGGTTAATGGAGAAAGGAAAGAAAAATGGAAAGAATAATGGAAGATAATTCAAAAGAAAGAAAGAAAGAAAGAAAGAAAGAAAGAAAGACTAAGGAGGGGAGGGAGAAAGATAGTCTATTGGACGTTAATTAAGGAAAGTGAAGAAAGAAAGCAAAATTAAGGGAAAGAAAGGAAAAAAAAGAAAGAAAGAAAGAAAGAATGACATTAATGGTTAATGGAGAAAGGAAAGAAAGATGGAAATAATAATGGAAGATAATTCAAAAGAAAGAAAGAAAGGTAGAAAGAAAGAAAGAAAGAAAGAAAGAATGAAAGAAAGACTAAGGAGGGAAGGGAGAAAGAAAGTCTAATGGACGTTAATTAAGGAAAGTGAAGAAAGAAAGCCAAATTAAGGGAAAGAAAGGAAGAAAGAAAGAAAAAAAGAAAGAAAAAAAAGAAGAAAGACATAAATGTAAAAAGTAAAGAAAGAAGGAAAGAATGAATGAAAGACTAATGTAGAATGAGTAAGGCAAAAATAAGGAAGAAAACGAAACGCAAAAAGTAAGATGGGGGGAAATAGTCGGAAAGAAAGAAAGAAAGAAAGAAAGAAAGAAAGAAAGAAAGAAAGAAAGAAAGAAGGGCGAAAGTTATAAAGAAAGAACGAAAGAAAGAAAGAAAGAAAGAAAGAAAGAAAGAAAGAAGAAAGAAAGAAAGAAGAAATAATAGAAAATATTCAAATGGAAGGAAAAATGTCTGACGAGAAATATTTGTAAAAGAAAAAAATAGATTAAACATTTTCGATAAGAAAGAAAGACAGAAAAAATGACAGTGAATGAGTAGAAAAAAGAAAGAAGGGAAGAATAATGTAATATAATTCAAATGAAAAAATGAAAGAAAAAAAGAAAGAAAGAGTAATGTAGAACAAATAAGGAAAAAAGAATGAAAGAAATATCGAAAGAATGAAAGAAAAAAGCAAGCTGTAGCGGAAATATTTGGAAAGAAAGCAAGAAGGAAGGAAAGAAAGAAATAAAGAAAGAATGAGAGAGGGAAATATTTGAAAATAAAGAAAGAAAGGAAGGAAATATTAAAATAGTAGGAATGAAAAAAATGAGGAGAAATATTTGTAGAAGAAAGAGATGAACATATTGAAGGAGAAACTAAAGGAATGAAATAATGTTTCGGCGGCAAGTAATGATAATGAAGAAGAAATACAGAAGAAAATGAAAAGGGAAAGAAAGACCAATAATGCATTTTAAGAAAGAAAGAAAGAAAGAAAGAAAGGAGAAAAAGAAAGAAAGAAAGAAAGAAAGGAGAAAGAAAGAAAGGAGAAAAAGAAAGAAAGAAAGAACGGAGAAAGAAAGAAAGAAAAAAGAAAAAAGAAAGAAAGGAGAAAAAAGAAAGAAAGAAAGAAAGAAAGAAAGAAAGAAAGGAGAAAAAAGAAATAAATAAATAAAGGAAAGAGAAAGAAAGAAAGAAAGAAAGAAAGAAAAGAGAAAGAAAGAAAAATAAGAAAAAGGAAAGAAAGAAAGAAATGAGAAGGAAAGAAAGAAAGAAAGAAAGAAAAGAGAAAGAAAGAAAGAAAAAAGAAAGAAAAAGAAAGAAAGAAAGAATAAAGGTGAAAGAAAGAAAGAAAGAAAGGAGAAAAAGGAAAGAAAGAAAGAAAAGAGAAAAAAGAAAGAAAGAAAGGAGAAAAAGAAAGAAAGAAAAGAGAAAGAAAGAAAGAAAGGAGAACAAGAAAGAAAGAAAAGAGAAAGAAAGAAAGAAAGAAAAAGGAAAGAAAGAAAGAAAAGACAAAGAAAGAAAGAAAGAAAGAAAGAAAGAAAGAAAGAAAGGAGAAAGAAAGAAAGAAAGAAAGAAAGGAGAGAGAGAGAAAGAAAGAAAAAAGGTGAAAGAAAGAAAGGAGAAAAAAGAAAGAAAGAAAGGAGAAAGAAAGAGAGAAAGGAGAAAGAAAGAAAGAAAGGAGAAAGAAAAGGTAAAAAAAGAAGAAAAATTAACGGAATAAACGAAAAAAGCGCTGCAAAAAACCAT